CGTTTCGCGGTAAGGGCTTCCTTTATGAAAAAGTGGCTGAAAAGATCACTTGAGCTCAAGGGTGGGGAACAAATTTTGCACCAGAACTTGGCTCCTCACTTCAGACGGATTCTTGAAGGCAAGCGCTTACTTCTTTGGCGTGAAATCCTTGTGGAGCTGAAGTACCCGGATGTCGCAGTAATTGATGACATCTGCACGGCTTCAAGTTGACAGGTTGGGCTCCTAGCACTGGTGTCTTTCGGCCTGAGGTGAGAAGGCCTTCTTTGGGAGTACAGCAGCTGATCAATGTCTAAGGGCTTGAACGCGGCCGTTGTCAATTCTCTACATGGTGCAGCTGACTCTGAGTATGACCAGTTTGTTTGGAATGAGACTATGACGGAAGTTGACAAAGGGTGGTTGGCTCCTAGCTCCCTGGACGGCGAATGCTTTGTGGCAAAGAGATTTCCAGTACCTCAGAAGGACAAAGTGCGGCTGGTGGACTTCACCATCTGTGGAGTCAACGGTGCCTATGGATTGCGGGAGAAACTTCGTGTCCAAGCAGTGGACGAGCTATGTTCATACCTTGCCTACATGTTGGACCAAACGGACGGTAGATCTCGTCCCCGGCTGACTGGTCGCACTTACGACCTGAAGTCAGCATACAAGCAGTTTGGAGTGGACAAGTGGCATGCAGACCGACTCAGGATTGCAGTCAAACGCCCAGAGGGCGGTGTTGGCATTTTTGCGGCTTTAGCATTACCTTTTGGAGCGTCAGGATCTGTGAGCTCTTTCCTGTGTGTGGCAGCCAGCCTCACGTGCATAGGGGTGGTGGCTCTCCAGGTCTTGTGGACTAGTTTTTTCGATGATTGCACCTGTGTCTGTGTGGAGGGCGAAGAAACAAACGTCTCCTTCTACGTGGAGTCCCTCTTTCGCCTGTTGGGAGTGTGGATCGCAGAGTCTGGCTCCAAGGCAACCCCCTTTGGACCATCCTTCAAGTCGCTTGGTGTGATTTTTGATGTTGGTGGAATACCTGACGGTTCCTTTTCACCTCTGCATACAGAGAGTAGGAAGTCTGAGCTGGTGCAAATGCTTGACACCTTGATGAAGACCCAGAGGTCGACGCCGAAGGAACTTGAACGACTCCATGGTAGGTTGATCTGGTTCAGTGCTTTTGTTTTTGGACGGATGATAAATCAACTTGTCAAGGCAGTCTCGCAGGAGTCTTTGAAAAGGACGAAGTCAATTCAATTCAGCTCAGAATTTCTCCACACCTTGAATGATTTGAAAGCTGCAATCACGTTGTCAAAGCCCGTGGTGATTTCCAAATCCTTGTGCACCACTTGGTATGTCTTTACAGACGGGGCGTTCGAACCTGACTCTGACGTCCTTGCCAGTGTAGGTGCCGTTTTGATATCGCCGTCCCAGAACGTTTGTTGAGGAGTTGTTGCAACATTCAGCCCATCCAATATACGAACTCGAGGTGCTTCCAGTTTTGTTAGCCACTCGTCTTTGCATGAAGTATATAACTGGATGCCCCACAGTGTACTACTTAGATAACGTTGCAGCAAGAGCAACGTACATAAAAGGGGTTGGCGCTACGCCGCTACGCCTCCTGCCATGTCTTTGCTCAGAGAGTTTGTACGCCTAGAAGCAAAGTTGAGAATATACTCGTGGTTCGGCAGAGTACCAAGTCACTCAAATGTGGCAGACGCACCTTCCAGGCTTTGCTTTGACGATCCAGTCCTGTCGGGCTGCGCACGAGTTCGGATCGTGCTTCCAACTCACGGTCTGGAAAATGGGGTTGGCTCAGGGTGAGTTGGAAAGCCATTCCCACCAAACAACCTGGTCGATTGTTCCCCACAGCATGGTGAAAAAAGGATGCGTTGTCCGAGTGATGCCACGAGTTTTGTTTTTCAGTGCACATGTCTTCCAATCGTGTTTTTAGCACCAAGCTGTTTTGGAGATCCAACGTTTTTTGCGCGAACGGTTTTTATTTTTTGGTTTTGGCGTTGAAGTCGACGTTCGAAGTTTTTCAACTGCGTCCTTTTTTGTCAATACGTGGTTTTACGTACGTGGGTGTTGATCAACAGCTTCCCTTTATGTTATGGGGCTCTGGTGCGTGGCGCTGTCAACTGACCTGTAATAATAAGCCGGAACTCTTTGTGAAAGATGATGGCCTTATTGTGTAAGGTCTGTTGGTTTTGCTGTGCAGGTTTCTTCTGCACAAAGCGTGCGCCGCGTCTCCGTAATGTATTCGCCCTCTTCCTTGCCTCGCTGTCCACGCGTTCTCCCTGCGTTGGTGCTTTTGCACTTTTGGTTTGTTGTCAACTGCAAACCCTTTGAACAAACCAAGTTTAAATCCAAACGCATCTGCATTGAAACCTGTTTCAGTTGCTGTGATGTGTTTTTTCCTCTTGACCCAAGCCTCGTTTCGAGAGTTGAAGTTTGTTTGAGCCATTTTATTTTTATGAAGAACCTCACATCAATATATGTTGTGTCTGCAACATGTCCTATCAAGGTGTGGGTGGGTGGGACCTCAATTTTTATGAGGAAACCAAAATACCCACCTGTCTTTCTCCCACCCGGTTTCCTCAGGTCTGTCTGACCTTTTCTTCTTTGGTCCGTTTGACCACACCTTTTTGCCTCGAGTTGGAAAGCCATTCCAACCAAACAACCTGGTCAATTGTTCCCCACAGCATGGTGAAAAAAGGATGCGTTGTCCGAGTGATGCCACGAGTTTTGTTTTTCAGTGCACATGTCATCCGATCGCGTTTTTAGCACCAAGCTGTTTTGGAGACCCAACGTTTTTTGCGTGAACGGTTTTTATTTTTGGTTTTGGCGCGCAAGTCGACGTTCGAAGTTTTTCAACTGCGTCCTTTTTTGTCAATACGTGGTTTTACGTACGTGGGTGTTGATCAACAGCTTCCCTTTATGTTATGGGGCTTTGGTGCGAGGCGCTGTCAACTGACCTGTAATAATAAGTAGGCTCGCTAAAGCGGCGGGTGCGGAAGATGAGAGATGAAAAGTTGCACGCCGTTGTGGCGCGAAGCACATTTCGAAGTCAAAATGCACAAAACACCATTCTCGGAACATTTTTTGGAAGTTGAGATGTCGAAAAAGTGCAGACCATTGTGGCACGAGGCACATTTCGAAGTCAACATGTAAAAAGCACCACATGTTCGGACCACTTTTGGAAGTTGAGATGTTGAAAGAGTGCACGCCGTTGTGGCGCGAAGCACATTTCCAAAGCCAAAGTGTTAAAAACTGAGGGTCTCGGACCACTTCTGGACGTTCAGATGCTGTTTCGTGTGGCAGGCGCAAGGTATTCTGCACCTTGCTAAAAGTGAGCAAAAACGTGAGGGTTTTGTCGCAGATTCAACTACAACCACCAAACTACACTACACTCCACTCCACTACGCTACACTACAACTACAACTACAACTTCAACCAGAACTACAACTACAACACTACACTATATACATTACACTACACTACACTACGCTACACTACGCCGCACTACACTACACGAGTTACATTGCACTACACTACACTCCACCCCCCCACTCCACTACACTACCTACAACTACAACTACAACTGCAACTACAACTACAGCTACAACTGCATGACACTACATTACACTACACTCCGCTACACTACGTTAAACTACAGTACAGTAACAGTACACCACACTACACTACACTACACTACACTCAATTACATTACCTTAACTTACATTACATTTCACTACACTACACCACACCACACCACGCTACACTACACTACGCTACGCTACGCTACGCTACACTACACTACACTACACTACACTACACTACACTACACTAACTACGACTACAGCTACACTACACCACACTACACCACACTAACTACAACTACAGACAACTACAACTACGCTACTTTACACTAGACTACACTAGGCTACACTACACTACGGTACCCGACATTGCATTGCACTGCGCTCATCACACCGCCACGGATTCAATTGCAGCTACATTACACTAATTACACTATACCACAACGACAACTCCACTACAGTACAACTACAACCACAGCTGCGCTACACCACACTACATCCAGCAGTTGTGGGTGAGGTGACCGACCAGGTGACCACCGCAACCATTGTAACCACTCCCAAAAACACAACCCCAACTACCTTTCAGTCCATCAGTGGATTCGCTTTGCCATCCGTGATTCACAGCAATCAAACTCTCCAAAAGGTTTCCCCTTCTTGTGCGCTACTACTGGTATACAGATTCTCTACGTATGTTTTCCGGGTTTGTTATATATTTTTTGTCCCACACACACACATATATATATACATATACATTCAAATTTGCATCTTTGCACCTAGTGTGCTGCAATTGTGGAGATCAGAGCAAGTGATCGGATTAAGGTAGGCAGCACAATGTTGAGCGAAACTGCTATGGAAATGCGGTGGTTTTCAAAATTTAGTACGGAGTCTTGGAAACGCAGAATCAGCAGGTTTGAACAACTTGGCAGAGCGCGATGCGACAAAAGCAACAAAACGTAGAACGTGTTCTGCAGGGTCATCTGGCTTAGTTAGTTCGCCTGCAATTTGTTGCCCAGCAATGGTTTGGTTCCGGCACCTTGGTTTGAATGCAATTTATGTGATTATTCAACAAAGACATCAGACATGATTTAATTCAAGGCTTGAACTGGTGTGAACTGGTTGGAATATTTTTTTTGCAAGTCAATCTTTGCGTTGCATTGACACCGAGGATTCTTGCTCTGCTTGTGTTGGGAGCAAATAGCAAAGGAGGTTACTCTGGAGGATACTCTGGTGGAGGCCTGGCAGCGGCGGCGACAAGACTCTGACAAGGCTTAGGTTCCATGGATGCCCTTGCCGGGTTCAACTTGTTTTGGGGAACGTGTTTCCAATTGTTTTTGTTGTTTCTGTTGTTTCCTTCGGAATGTGCTTTACTGACAAAATTTCTTGTTTTTTTCATTTTTTGAATCAACTTTGCCAAATTGTGTTGCACAGGCGGCTTTGGGAGTTCAAGTCTGGCCGACGTGTTTGCTGGTTTGGATTGTGTTTTGCCATGAAACTCTCAAAACATCAAAGGATTCTCTGGGCAACAACCACTGGCAGCCCACGAAACGCTTGTAGTGACAGGTGTGGTGACCAACCGTGCAGCTTATGCCAGCTAGGAACTCAGAGTTGTGAACCTATTCCCTTCAACCTGAAATCAAACCATTTGCAAATTCGGTCCAAAAGGTTGCGACGCTGATATAAAACTGATGATACAAAAATTCGTTCGATAGAAAAACATGAGACCAGTCATGGAGTGAGGTGCTGGCGCTTTTGGAGCAGTTGTTCTCCTGTCGGCTGGAAGCAGACGGCGATACGGCGTGTACAATGATCCAAATGATCAGTCCACATGTGTGCTGCTGACTCTCAGCTGCGTTAGTTGAGAAACTTTGCCAGAACATGGGGAGGGTTCCGACGTTTTTGAAACTGCCAGTTTCAACGTCGTTTGGGAAAATGTAAACTTGAGGACAGGCAAATTGCGAATTCACATTGCAACAAAGTGGGATCGGTTTGGATTCTATAACCCAGCTTTGCACCCCAGCAGCAGTAAAAGTAAAGGTTCCAGGCTTACAGGGTTTCATTGCGGTTTTGAATGGTTAATTTGCGTGATGCACCACAGAGATTGAAACACAACAAACACTGTTGTTGGGATTTTAAATTTGTTTCATGTAAATATCGAGGTTTCGTAACGGTTGCTGTAACGCTCGCTATGCGGCATTGTTATCACAGACAACTTTCAGACTTTCAGTTTTTTGACTGCTCACGTGAGGAGTGAAGAAGAGATGCAGAGCTCTTGCTTGAATCTCACTGGCGTCACTTGGCTCTCATGTTGCAGAGCTGCGAGAAAAAAATATGGAGCTGGTCTTGGTTGTGGGCAAAATTTCATTCTGAAACCACATTTCAAAAGAGGCCTCCAAAAGACTGGATGAGTTGTTGTGCATGGCTGTGTGGCCATACCAAGGATAACACACAGTGCCACAATTGTATCCAATGCGAGACGGAGGAGGGCACTGCAAGTTGTGAACGAATTCTCCACAGAAAGTGGTGGTATGTTTTTCCATCAAAATGTTTCTACAGAATTCATCCTGGATTCTGCGACACAACACGGCCGCATACGGCCGCATACAGCCGCCATTCCAGGATTGCATGTATGGCATCAGCAACTGCGACGAATTCTTGGCAACCGCACGCAGCTCAGTGCACAGTGCTGCTCAGTGCTGCTCAGTGCTGCTCAGTGCTGCTTAGTGCTGCTCAGTGCTGCTTAGTGCTGCTCAGTGCTGCTCAGTGCTGCTCAGTGCGGGCAAACGCAGAGCCTGGGCAGTGTCGGTTTGTGTCGGTTTGATGATTTCGTGATTGGAACATGTTGTCACAAGTTTCGCCAGTCACTAGTCGCTCTGATTTTTGTGACTGAGAAGAGCCAAGCAGAAATATGTCACTCTGATAAAGCAGACGGTGACCTCTCTTAAATATATGATCTCCAAATTCTGAGAAGGTCTTCAGCGAGTGCTGCATCGAGAATTGTGAAGAGGATCCCACCGTTGGTATCATCATTGGTGCAGTCATTTCTAGTTTCGTTTGCTGCTCGGCTTGAAAGGCGGACAATGATGAACATGCAGGTGAGCATTTCCCCAGAAATTCTGTTGCACGGTGTAGGGTCCAACTGATGTGTCTAACTGAGTCTAATTGGGGTTCAGCCGGTTCGTTTCAAAAGATCCAAGGCATAGGAATTTGTGGCTGCATGTTCCTGAGAATGAAGTCCGCCACAAGTCAGGGAGTCAGCAGCTTAGAACACTGAGCTGGGCTTGGGCCTGTTCCATCGCTCAACGGTTCCTTTGGATCTTTGGGATTATTCTTTAGTAGGGCCTTTAGGGTCTTATTAATTATCATTGAATGATACTATTACTATCCTTATTCTATTTGTGCATCGTGACTTGGAATCGTGACTTGGAACACCTTGGAACCCCATCGGTTGCCTCCATGGTGCATTTTGTGCAGCACTGAAACGCCGTACTAAGTCCGAGCAACCTTATGGACAACAAGGACAACCAGAAGACTTTTGCCGTTTCTACATACGTTTTAAACGTTTTAAGCATTGTTTGAAATGCGACATGTTGTGAAATCTAAAGAATCGAAAGTCATGTCTGTTCCATTGAGCGAACGTTGCGCGGATGGTCATTTCGCAGACTCACTTGGAGACTCATGTGACTTCGGCTGCGTGGCAGGCAACGTCTTACAACAGAATCCTATGGTGGTGCAGGGAGCTGTTGTGCAAGGGCAGGTCATTGGAGTAGGCTGGACTCCGGCTGGACGGCGGCTGGACGGGAAATCCTCACAGATCGAGCCCACGGAAACCCGAGATATCCCGACATCCGAGACCGCATGAAGCTGGCTGAACGTTTGCACAGGCCCTCCTCAAAAGATCCCTGCTGGTGGGGCACCAATGTGAATTCCATGGAGGTTGGGCAGATGTTTTTTGACCCAAGACTTTTCCGCAGCAGTTTGCTGCAGTTTGGCCGTTGAACTGACATGTGAGGGTCACCGTTGCACCGTGCCACGCGCTGTTGGATCTGAGCCGCTCTGAGCGTGGCAAGCCGCGTAGCCCGCAGCACGGTATCGGCGCATGCTTTGACGTGGAGTCGGCGCACGCTGCGCGGGCTGCGCGCAGTGGTGCTGAGATGCAGAAACATTCCGAAACATTCTGAAACGTGTCATCATTGTCATCATTCAACATAATTCTATAGAATCTATTGAAATAAGACATTATATGCCGTTATATCAACGTGTGCTTATATCATACTGTGTCTCAATTCCATCTATATAGTTGTAGCAAGCAAGAACCATACGTAATGGAAGATCCTGTCAGACATTCTTTTCTATTTTCATTTGCCCTCCAGTATTGTGGCATTTTTTACACCTTGTTGGATCTTTGCAATCTTGGATTGAACACAGCAGCAGCTGTCGTTGCAGCGAGAGTTTTGCTGGACACTGGTATCTTGGATTGCTTTCCTGAACATTTTTGTAAGATTTTGATCAGGTTTGAAAGGATTTTCCAACCTTTCGAATCTTTTCAGATTTTTCTGCAGATCTGCAAGCATTTTGACATGTTCTTTTTGCATCTTTTTGCTCCATGACTTGAACAAGTCAGCGACTCCAGTGTCCAGCACACGTCTTCACACTTTCAATCCGAACTCTACGAAGTCTACGAAGTCTACGAAGTCTTTTAAATTGAGCCTCTCGGACTTCATCTTCGGGGTCCGAGTCCCACTTGAGGATGTCTCAAAGTTTCACTGATGATTCTTATGTGCACAGACTTGACTTGTTATCGGCTGCATGTCGGAAGACATGTCTTCCTGTTGGAAGATTTGAAGTATTCTCACGTTGAGAAACACATCCTTGTTGATGCGGAAGACAAAGCAGCCATGATGTCTTGAGCGCTATTTTGAGAGCACTGGCCGGCCAGAATCGTCTGCCCTCGCAGCAATTCACAAACTTTGACGGAAAATCAGGAAACAAAACAAGGCACTAAGGCGCTTTAACGGTTGGAGTAAAATGATGTGAACATATATGCGTTCTTTTTTGAGTAATTTCGAGTATGATTTCCACACATGTTTCAAGCGTTTGAGGCACTGAGGCTTTGCTCTTTTTCGGCGCCGCGTGCTGGGAGGAACTCAGCTGCGCAAGTGCATGCTCGGCCTGACGGGCGGTGCTGGGGCAACGAAGTCGACCATTCTGAGATAATGATGGCAACAGACCTGTAGCCGACGTAGCCGACGTAGCCGACCGCCGACTTTCGCCTTTGACATTCTGCAGCTCTAAGCAGCTCTAGGCATCGTGAACTCTGCCTTGCCCAAGGCATCACCGTATCAGAGTCGTGTTCGGTCGCATTTCCTGCGTTGTGGACAGATCAAGCGAAGGCTCAAAGAGGCGCCGCTTCCATGTCGTTGCTACATTTCGCTTCGCTTGGGAATTGGATGCAGTTTTACAATGTTTTACAGTCTTGCTGATTTTGCTGATTTTCTGCTTTGCACAGTCTTTCTGTTGCAAGACTGCTGGATGATTTGCAATCTGATGGATCCAGCGACACACAGAAAATCACAGATAAGTCGCACCTTGCTACAAATTCAAATTCTAGAAACAAATTAGCAGCCGGTCAAGGCTGGGTGCGACAGGTGCTGTAGAGGCTTGAGTTTGCAGCCTAACAATAAATGCAAGTCAGCAGAAAAGGATGTAAAGCATGCCTGAAAGATCGAGTATTTTTGACATTTTTGGATAAAATAATTGGAATAAATTCAAGTCATACGAGGCTGCAAGATGCTGCAAGGGAGCCAAAATTCGTCAAAATTCGGGCGAACCTCAACTGCCATGGGTTAGTTCGTCGGAGATGGAAACCACAGATGCAGCGGCCTTAGTCGGAGATAGTTGGAGTCCACGGATTCCACCAACAACTTGGCCTGTTTTTGGATTTTTTGGATAGGAATACACTTTTGGAATTTTGATGGAAATTGATGGAATTTCCATTTTTTTGATTTTTTTGGGATATATAGAATACACGGTGTGATATATGGAATTCCACCGAAATTCTCACTGGAATTGATGGAATTGATGGAATTGCCTGCATTGCCAGCGAGCTGAGGCTCGAAGGCTTTGTCGAACAATACTTGCTTCGATATCTTGGGGACTACATCTTCGGTGTTGTAGCTCGACCTCAAAGCGCTTCTAAACACTTAGAGAATTAAGAGACAATAAGGGAGCGTCAACAGCATCTCTTGACCATTTGCACTGGGGAGCTCTCAGGTTAGAAAATGCAGCATGATTCGGATACAGTCGAATCTACCGAAGAGATTGCAGTGGATGTTTATAATAATTATAGCACTTTGAAATTTTCCGATAGGTGAAATTCAGTGCTTCTTCACCATTGTCACAATGATGTCGTGCTTTTGCCTGGTGACATATTTTGCCTTGGGAAGGACAAGCAGAATTTGTCTGTGACCACTTGGCGTGGGGAGATCCACTTGCGCAGCGCTCGCTTGAAGCAAGAAGTGGTGGACACTTAACAAATTTCATGGTGAGGTCTAGGTTTAACAAAGGAACTTTGCCAAGTTTGCCTATCTTGAGGCTTCAGAGACACGCACTGAATATACTCTTGTGCCCTACATCACTAGAACATGTTGATTAGGTGTGAAACTGATAGAAGAATAGAAGAGTGAGTGCAACCATGGAAACGGTTGGAAAGTTTCAGAGTTGGGCAGAGTGGTGCAGAGCGGTGCAGAGCTAGTCGACACCCTAAGACACTGAGGAACTCCTGAATCTTCCGTTCAAGCTGATCTTTGGTGAGGCTCAGCAAGGGCTCAATTTTCTCAATTCTGAAGACATACTGTGGATGGGGTGCATCACAAGCGCGATACTCAAAGCTGCCTTGATCTTTTTGAAGAATGGATTCCTTGACATACAGCTGATAAATTGATATCAATTGCCAATTCATCTCTAAGCATTATAATCATTCGTATATAGATGAAACTGTAAAGTGTAAAGTAAGTTGATCTTGCCAGTTGGAGCATGTTGGAGCCAGTTGACAGAGTTGAAGCCAGAAGCTGCGATAAAGCCAGGCAGCGGATTTAAAGATCAATGTGCCCTGGAATCGCTTGGGTAGTAGACCTGTTTGGACCTCAGATTTGGGCAGAGAAAGGCAAATCGGCAAATGTCGTATTGACGTCGACGTCTCCTTTTTCAGCAAGACTCCTCCAGTTTGGCCATTTGTTCAAATTTCTTCAAGCCAAATGAACCCAAAAGTATAGCACTGCTGAATGCAGAGAATTAAAGATTCAAGAAATTCGATTTCAAGCTCCATACAGACAGATTTTGAGAGAATCTAGGAGCTGGGACCGTGTGTCCTTGGTTTCTTGCCCCTGCTGCATTTATGCTTCTTCTGTGAACCTGATCATGAAACCTAGTTCTCCCTAAGACCTCAGTTTCTTTCTGGTTCTCAGGTTGCCCTGAAGAGTTTAGCCATTATAACCCTTTGTTCAATAATAACCTTGGCTGTTGAACCGTTGTGTCTCTTAGTTTTTGGACATTTTTGGACCGTGTGCACCGTGTGCTGCACAGGTGGTGGTTGAGCTCACAGGCTTGCGAGTGCTGCTTGGTCCGAAGCCAGCAACGGAATGGTCCAACGAGGAAGAGCTGCGACGTGTGCAGTTGGCGAGGCCACGTGACAACAGATGACTAGCTGTGCACACGTCAATCTGTTGTCCACATCCATTATAGATATTATAGTAAAGTTGGTTTTAAAGTTATATGATGTAACTCAACTTGTTGATGCAATATTATTTTTGACAAGGGGATGTTGAGTCACCTTTCATTTGAAAGGTAAGTGGACATGAAGATGCATAGTTTGATGAACACATCACGAGTGTCGGTGCCAATGTCAAGTGGCTCAAGTGAGCCCCAATTTCATCCAACGAATTTTTCGTGTGATGCGCCAGCGTGGAGCCATAGTTTATCGTGATCTTCGTCCATCGCATTTTTCTTGTCTTTCTGGATCGTGGGGTCCTTTCTTACAGGGATAGCTGCCTTGATCCTCTCCTTGGAGTTTGCCATCATTATGGAAGATCGCAGGGTACTTGACCCACCATTGCAGCCCACGGAATCCAGTAGCGACGATGATTTTTACGGTGGTCCACCTACGCCCTGGGGCGGTGTTGTGCTGCACTTCCTCGTCAACTTGACCTTGAAGCAAATGGTGGCCCAGCTTTTCCGCATTGACGTTGATACGCCGGGCCTTGTCCGTATTCTCTGCAATTCAACCCCAGTAGATCTTCGAACTACTGTCGAGGGATTAGAATGGCCCCGCCGAGTTTTTGTGCAAATTTCTTCTTATACTGAATATCAACGCAGTTTGGGCATTTTTCACCATCTCCAGCATGCCCCAGTGGCCACACCACATGAACACCATGCTCAAGGGACGCGGCCAGTTCAGGTGTACCTGCATTTTGTCTCAGTTTTTCGTGCACTACAACAATATGAAAATCTGATTAGTTCGCAGTCTGTCGTCATTGGCCGTTTGGAAGCACGTCTCGCCCGACTGGAACGAGCCGTTTCTACAGGTGAACCCATTGTCCTTACGCCTCGGCAGCCCACAGAACTATCAGTCTGGTACCCTGACTCTCCAAGTCAGTCCGAGCCAGCTGCCGCATCCGAAAACGCAGACTAATTCAATCTTGTTGCAAAAGCCATTTTCAGTTGGGGGTGCGCGCATGTCTTTTGCTTTGGTTCAGCGACTCGAATCTTGATAACATGTTCTTGTAACTCTTGTTTATGCCAAGTCGAAAGTGCCAGCCTAGACCTGCCTGTGGTTTAGTGAGCGGCTCAAACCCGACAAAGGGACCGGAAACTCAAGGCCTGATGACATCAGTTGAGGGTCGAGTGAACTTCATCAAAAGCATTTGTGAGAAGGGTCACAGTGGGATTGTCAGGTGACATCTTACGTGTTCCCTCTTCACGTGAAAGCCTTAGATGTCGCACAGTGCCAAGTGAAAGATCAAAGCCAGTGGCCTCTTAGGCCCTGTTGGTGACGAGTGTCCCAGCCTGAACTTCAACTTGCCCCAGTATTTCCTCTCTTTCCCGGTTGTTTATGTTCACCCTTCCTAGGCGAAGAAGTGGCATTCCAGTCACAGCCTCAATGCTTGGAGTGAGGAAAAGGGTTGAACTGGTCGGGCAAGTGCCGTATGAACCATTGTTGCTTTGACACAAGTGTGCCATTGGGGGCGAGTGCCCTGTTCACCAAGTCGAGGTGACGAAGTCAATCTTGACCTGGGCACTTTGCCACAAGTGGTCAGCAGGCAGTCGTAAACTCAGATGCACCCAAGAAACTTTCCTTCATGAAAATTATTCAGAACCAGCATATCAACTTGACCCTGTTAGTCCGCAGTGTGTTGGATTTCCCTATAGGTTTCATCGAACCGACGTCGGAGGAGGTTCGACTTAGTGCAGCATGCAGTGTCCCACCAAGATGAAGGGGCATTGCGCGTCATGGCCATAAGTGCGTACCTCCCAGATTTCCATGCCAATCTTGTTATGCACAGGAACATCATGCAGTCCAGTGAGCAGGCTGGCGCTTCAAGTGCCAGACTTGACAAAATCCGAGAGCGCCGTAGATTGCCACTGGTACAGAACATCGGAACACTAGCTGTGATGTTGGCCACTCTCCTCGTTGAAGGAGAGGAATGGCTCAGCGCGGTTACAAAAACCGAAGCCTGCCTGAACGAGATCTTCCGACTCATTGGGACACCTTCTTTTATTGATATCCTTGTTGATTTTACCATGAGTTAGAGGTCACAAAATTGTGGTATCGCAGCAACAGGGAAGATCACCCACACTCGTTTCGCAGCCAAGTTCAGCGGAAGCGTTCCCCGTTGTATATGCAAGCCAGTATGGGGGTGCTCAGAACTGACCATTCACCGGTCTTCAAAGATCACATGGATGCCTTTGCTAACCTCCTTGACCACTTGATAATAAGCTGCACGAAGCCCGACGAGGAGCAATTGTTTAAATTCCTTCTAGAGGTCAAGATCTTGTTGGATTCAATTGTCGAATTCGTTGGTTGACTGAGTCTATTTTGTCACCATGTTCTTACACTCCTTTCTTGCAGACCGTATGAGAGACGAGACCTCAAGGAATGAGTTGGCATCGGACGGTGAAGACTTGAAAAAGGCTGATGTGAATCATTTCCAAAACCTTTGTATCAGATCCTTTCTGCAATGTCACCGTCAGGAATTCCGTCTTCGTTTCATAGGCTCAAAACATGGACTCAGAAGATTCCTTGCCGGAGAAGGGGACCCCTTTGCCCCTTCCCGAAAACATCGATTGCCATGATGGGAATGAGGAGGGCCCTCACCAAGGGTCTTTTGATCACCAGACAGAGAGGATGTAGAGAGTTTCGTTCGCTCACACCCGAGAAACCCACCGTGTGACACTTCTGAGACCGGTGGTTCAGACGTAGCGGACGGTGAAGAAGGCCTCTTTGGTCCAGGTGGATGCAGCCCTCTGGAAGGAGGCTCGACAGTTCACGAAGAGCCTGGCGAGGAGGAGGACGAGATGACTGATGCAGACAGGGCTAGGCTGGATTCAGTTATCCACCAAGCCATGCTGGGAGCAAACTTGGCAGATGGGCTCTCCTTGCCCTGGGAGACAGGTATCATGGCCACGATTTTCGGAGATGCCCCCATAGTTCAAGAAGTCACATTGCCGAAGATTGCTCACACCTTGGATCATTCTGAAGTCGGACCTCTGAATAGACCAGGCGGCTTGGAGAACCAAGCCAAGCGACAAAGAAAGGAAGTGTGCACCAACAGGCTGTATGAACGAGCTATTTCGTTCAAGAATACCTTGACCGACCCAGAAATGGACCAGGCGAAATGGGGAAGAGCATTGGAAAAACTGTACACCGTAATGGTGTCTGGACCGAGCAGCTGCCCGAAGGGCATTTCCTTCATCGCCGGGGACGTCGAGAAAAACCTGCGCCAAATCCGGCTCCTTTGTGGGGCAAGAAGCCCAAACACCATTGCCAAGAGGGCGCACAGCCTTTTGCAGTTCTGCTTGTGGCACAGGGGATTTTACTACAAGAAGCACCCCATACCGTTCGCCCAAGACGAGGTGGCAGACTACGTATGGGAGAAGCATCAAGACGGGATGACATACACTGGATTGACTTCATTTGTAGAAGCAGTGCATTTTGGCACACACGTGTTGGGGCTTCCAGTGTCAAACCCTGAGACCCCAGTGGTCTCAGCCTTTGTGAAAGGAGTCTTGGATAAGATGGCCCTCTCCAGGCCGAAACGGAAGCAAGCTCGGCCCCTCACTGTCCCAGAGGTGACATTCCTGGAAAATATGGTGAAAGACCGAGCGGTTGACCCTGTCGACAGATACGCAGCTGGAGCATTTTTGTTCGCATTGTTCGGTAGATGCCGTTGGTCAGACCTCAAAGACGTGAGTCACTTCTTCTTAGACGTGAGCACCATTGATAACAGAACCATTGGCTACATTGAGTTTGCGACCTTTTCACATAAGACAGCAGCTCAGGTGGCGAGACATGGCCTGCCACTCCCACTGGTGGCTCCCATCTGGGGCCTTACGAACCCATGCTGGGCCTTGGTGTGGCACAAGCTGTCAAAAGAGGTTGACTTGTGCTTCAACGAAGGTTTCAAAGGACCAATTCTTCCGGCGCCCGACAAGACAGGAAGCTGGAACAGACGCAGTGTCTCAGCGTCTGAGGCAACAAAATGGCTTGGGGAGCTGTTGAAGCAAGGAGGCTTCAACTTGGAGGCTGTCACTTCTCACAGTCTCAAGTGCACGGTGCTCTCTTGGCTTGCCAAAGCAGGCACTGAGCCACACCACCGTCTGGTGTTGGGGCACCATAGCACTCAGAAGGGCTCGTTGGAGACATACTCTCGTGATATGTTGGCAGCGCCCCTTCGGGCCATGGAAGATGTCCTCAGGCGCATTAGAGTCGGGGCCCTCCGCCCGGACATGACCAGATCGGGCCACATCCAGGAGCCCACGAGACCGGACTGTGCTGCAGACCAACCGGACCAGGACGACTCAGACAGTTCGTCCTCGTCAGGAAAGAGCTCTTCTTCTTCCAGCTCGTCGGAGACCGATTCAGACAGTGAGGCGGCTGGCAACTTGCTCAGCGTTGGAGGCACCGACCCCGATGTGCAGCAAAGCTCCTGGGGCCTGGGAATCATGTATCAGCATGAACTTAGCAAAATAGTGCACCTCAAGCTCAACGAGGAGAACAGCACGTTCGTGTGCGGTGTCAATGCAACAAAAGAGCACACGGTAGTTGAGTCCACTTCTTTCCTGGAATACCGTAAGTGCAAAAGGTGCACGCGAGTCCTAGATTCAGCCTGAGCGGGTCCAAAAGAACGGCACCTCGTGTGTAACAAGCACACTCCATACATCCTTTGATATCATGTGCCAGCTAAGCTTTGCTCGACCACTCAGCCATTCCTGTTTTGGCCAAGCCAAAAAAAAAAGAAAGGGGGGTTTTGTATTTGAACATTTTTCTATATACTTATACACATATACTTGTTTCTGAAGTAGTTCACCACAACGTGCGTTCATTCTTGGAATGTCCAGCTCAACACGCATTCTTTTCCTCAACTCCTTGTTTAGGAGGGCTGTGCTTTGCGACAAAGCCATGGCA